CGCGCAAAGACTCGGCACGACGGCAGCGGCTGAAGGTCTGCTGGTGACGGTCCATGTCGATCATAGTGCGAGTAGAAACTACAAGGGACATTTAACAGGTGCTATTAGCTGAAGGTTAGCTGAAGGTTAGCTGAAGGACTTCCAACTTGCAGCTCACTCAACCGTGAGCACAAGAAGGAACACTTTCGGTGGTTGGGGCCAATCCTTGCCTCACGCAACCTCCAATATTAGCAACACGAAAGAGCTGAAGGACGCAAGAACCAGGTGAATATGTGAATGATTGGGAGAGGTGAAATATAAGAATGATCGACAAAAAAATGAACCTCCCATATATCTGGCGCTCGCCTTGAGCTGAATGCAAGGTATGGTAGGTTCGTTGGAGCTGGAGGGGAGGCTTGCCTCGGTGCTGGTCTGGCTGGCTTGAGTTCTGCGCTGTCGGCCCTCCAGCTTGTGTTGTGTCGTCTCCTCTCACACGTGTCCGCGGCTTCATTGCCGGAATGAAGCTCATTGGTCGGGTGACACGAGCCCACAGTAAACATCAGCTGAAGTTGCGAAGAAAATGTTTCCTTTTGTCGATTTCTGTGGAATCACTGTCGCTAGTTGACTGATCTGATAGGAAAACCGCATTGAGGACAACCGTCCGAGCTGCGACATCGAGAAGTGAGCGGTGGAAAGAACGGCTTTCGTTCAAGCTCAGACGTCTTTCATTATTATCGGGATGCTCGGAACAACAAGGCACCGCTCGGGACATTCTTTCACAACAGCGTTCTGCCCAAATGATTCTAAAAAGAAACGAATCTACGTGCCAAAGATGCCATCTTTCACACCCATGCCAAGACTTCTACTACTTAGCTAAGCTCAATTCATGGGATTGAAGTCAGCAGAAAAAGGGTTCGAGGTTCGAGATCAAAGAACGAGACTATCACAATCAGCTTGTATATCCCGAGAATCCGACTTTCGCGGGTGCAATCAGAACTTTTTCAAGAGTATTATGAATTACGAGGTGCATTCTTCCTAAACGAAAACATTGATCCCAAGCGGGTAAGCCGGCCAGTTCAGACGTGCAATGATGATCCGCCGTACCTTTCGTTCATGTAACTGACGAATGTAGCCAAGAACTTCGCTTCGTCGTCAAGCAACTTGTACGTTTCGCACGAGGAACCACTGTACCGTTATTTTTCTATATTACAGGGTACACTACGGTTGTTAATTCATTCGCGGGCTCCCTACCAGTAGCTCTGCGACACCTCGTTGACAGGACTGCTATCATCAAAAGCATGTACAGAAAAGTTTCGGTAGCAAGATACTCCATAACAGGAGATGACTGCATTGAAAGCCATTTTGCTGCTTTGTTTTATTATCAGCAGAAAACCTTTACAGATTTGTGTAAATAAGCAAGACATGCAGCAATACAAGCTGTATAAACATATCAACAGCAGGAACTCGATGGATTAGAGGCTTGGTTTGGCCTGTTGTGAAGCTGCATGCCAACAGGTTGCTGTGGAGGAGCTCCTTTGGGTAGCCTTCGTGCTGCAAACAGATACCGTTGAAGTGTCAGAGATGCAGTAAGACCACACATGTTAAACACACAGAAGCGGCACTGACACTGGAAATTTGTGCATGCACTGCATACCTATCTCATAGAAAAGCTCGTTGACGTTCGTGGCTGTTTTGGCAGAAGTCTCCAAAAAATAAAGCAGATTCTCTTCAGCGTACAGTTTTCCCTCCTGTTTCCATGCCCAGAACCAATGGTCCAAGTTAATAAGCATACATGGTTCCATGGAGGCATTGACATGCCATAATAAACAGTAAAACAAACACGGACACGACAAATCGCTTCATGCTATGACAAACGGGTATCCCCTTCTTTCATCCAGATCCTCCCATCCCAACAACCTATCTCCTTGTCCCTCGTCCTCTACCCTTCCCCTCACCAAGACTCACCTCCTCAGAAACCTTCCTCTGCGCCTCCAGGTCCGTCTTGTTTGCTGCCAGGGCAATCACCAGGTTGGGGTTACCTGAGGGAGGCATATGCAGGGCGCGCAAGGTCAAGGGCGAGGCCGAGTACAACTTTAGGAACGGATGATGGGAAAAATGATGACGGACGAGAACCGGACAACATAAGGGAGACATGCTGCAGATGTACGGGGAAACGGGGAAAGGGATATGCAGCATAGAGACAGGGAAAAGAGTTATGGAGTATGAGACTGGAAAGGGCTAAAAGTGGTGACATGCTCGGCACGTCAACTTGCGCCAGTGTGCTCAGCTGTGCTCATTGCAAGCTGATTGAGTGTGAACACGTACCTTGCCGTTGAAGCTCCTGCACCCACTTCTTGGCTCGGGCAAATGAATCCTGAAGACGCACGTATCACGCGCCCACACATGCCATGCGCCCCATAATCCATGCGTCCCATAACCCATGCGCAGACGCAAGACAGGAACGGCATTGCAAAACAAATGTAAGCAGCACCACCAGAAAAAGGTCAGAAACCGCAGTCGGGCAAAGTAGGTCACAAAAATGGCCCACATATAATAGCCGCCACCGTTCCTGGAAACCAGAGCGGCAGCAGCAGTGGCAGAGCGAAAGGAATAAGGCCCAGCGGCTCACCGTGCTGGTGATGTCATAGACGATAATGGCGGCCGCGGCTCCCCGGTAGTACATGGGCGCGAGGCTGTGGTAGCGCTCCTGCCCCGCCGTGTCCCAGATCTCGAACTTGACCACCGCGTCGCTCACCGCCACCGTCTGCGTCAAGAACGCCGCGCCGATGGTGGACTCCTGCGGCGGGGGGCACGGCGGGCGGAAAGATAGGATTGGAGTGAGATGGTGGGTAGGGATTGTAGGAACGAGACACACCCCCGACCAAGGTGGGTGAGGGTGGCCTGCCTGATAAGGGTGGGTAAGAGACGGAAGAGTATGAGACGAACAGTAACGGAGCGAACAGACACACGGAACTTGGATGCAGCACGAGCCTCTCAGTTATGCGTGTCCGAGTGCCTTGCGCAACCCGCACCTGGTACTCGAAGAATTGCCCCTTGACGAACCGCAGCACGAGCGACGACTTCCCCGCGCCCATGTCACCCAGTAGGACCTGCGCGCGGAGAGCAAGGAGAGGAGAGCGAAGGATGGGGAGCGAGGAAGAGAAAGAGCCACGAGGACGAAAAGGAAGGGGAAGATGGCAAGAGGTCATTCTGTGCGCTGTCGGTTCTTGAGGCAGGCGATTCTGTAAACTACGGAGTCTATGAGCTGTCTCTGCTTCAAGCTTGCAATCCTACAGAGTGCCAATAATTTGCAGAACGCTGGGTGACAGGAGCGGCGTCTACCGACAGGGTCCTCGACGGCTACACCATGACAACCCTACGATTGGTAACTGTCTCTGATAAGGCACGGGTAAAGAAACTGTGGTGATGAACTGTTGCTTCCGTATTGAGACGACATCAGCGAATAACGGCTCGCTGACATCTCCGTCGCTCACCAGTTTCGCTTGCATCGTGGGAGCAGCTGGGGCCGCCATGGGAGGACAGGGAGAGTGCGGTATTATCAAGCGTTAAGAACCAGTTGCGACTGAAAGAGAAGACAAAGATATGTAAGTGATGCTGTCGTATCCTATCGCTGAAGCGACCGAGGAAGGATGCGCGAAGAACGGGAGGTTGCTAGCAAGCACCACTGTAAACTAAAACTAATGACAAGTCACAGACGGGTGCTGGCGCGCTGCTGCAGTAAATATTCAGGAAGCTAGGGTTGGCCTGAACATTTGACTCTACGGGTGGAGTCAACAGCAGCGTCCCCCAGTTTTCCATTTTCCGTGTGCAGGCGGATGATCCCATAATCCAGTCTAGAAAGTCCTTGTTATTACTCACACCGTTCAGAAACCCTGGAAAACGTTGATAACCACTCTTACCACCAGTCACCGATGAATCACACGAGGCACAGAGCAGGTCCAATTCATCGGTCCGTGGAGTTCCGTGTGCGAGTCACGTCTTCGGAGCACACCTTTCTTGCCATCGCTCCGCATCTTCGCGCCTGCCTCCCCATTCTCTTGGGATCTGCGCGAGTTCACCGAACCTAGGAAACTTGTGTCAGCGCGCAGAACACTCCCCCACGTGTAACCTCCCAGGCGAGAGTTGTCAAGGCGGCCCTTGGCGAAGCCTCGCGAAGACGGATTCGCGGGCCTGTCCTTGGACAACCACTTCCTTGCAGTGGAATGTATCGCTGACGTCACGCTGTGAAGTGGGGGAAACGATCGCAGCCTTGCGCACGGGTTGGCTGTACGTTTGACGACCAATGGCATACGGCCGAGAAATATTGGAGAAACTGTACGGTTCCTAATTTGAATAGATCTCCAACCTAAAGTTCTTGAACTATCTACCGAAATACAGCTATAGAAATGCAAGCTGTTCCATATAATTCATCCGCGTTATGACGCATTATACCTAGCAGTTCCAGAAAACAGACCTTGGAGAAGGCGCAGTGGTTGATGAGGGGGTAAGTATATACTAGGTGGGTATTACTGGAAAAATGTGTTTTCTACTCATAATTATTTTCATCGAGTGGTACTTCAGATGACTTCTCACACGCGACATCCAGACAAGGGGCAAAGATCAAACTGGGGCCGAAAAATAGCAGGGGGGTGTCCAAATTAGGGCCGGGACAATCCCAACCGTTCCATACATGTGGGCTGCCCATGTGGCTGGGCAAAATTATCAAACGGTTTCGGGTAAATCCCAACCGTTCGATTCACATCCCAACCGTTCAATAATTTCCTTCAAAACCCGGTCGGGTTATCAAAATATCTAGCGTTTTTGTCCTAATGTTTTTCTCATACGAAGCCATGGCGGAATCGTGAGACCAAATGCTCTCCGCCCTTGGGATTGCAAGCAGCCTATTACACCACTTTACCCCTTTGCAACAGCCCTATTTCTCCTCTAAAGCCCGAAATAGCCAGGTCACGGCTCTACCCGCCTAATGTGACTGTTGTAAGTTCGAATTATAGTAGATTGTCATGTGGAAGGGGTTTCGGGGCCTGCAAGCGGTGGTGAAGGAAGGGCTGCAGGAGCTGGGCCGCGATGCGCTCCGCGAGACAGGCATGATCAAGGAAGCGGTTGCGCCTCGGCTAGCCGGGTCGGGAATCCTGGGATTGGTGGGAGTGCAGTCAGGAGACGAGCGAGAAGGAGAGGGACGAGAGGAGGAGGAGGAAGAGGACGGATGGGGTCTGGAGGACGACGCGGAAGAAGTGAAAACTGATGAGCGAGTTGCGTCAGGAGAATCCGAGGAACCAATTCCCTTGTCGTCGCATCCCTCCGCCTCCGCACTGGAGCCCTCGCCTGACATTGAGCCACGTGGGGAATCCTCGGACCACCCAGGCTTGGCTGTCGCCCCCGACACGAGCCTTTCCTCGCCGTCGCCTCGCGAGAACGACCTTCCCGTTACCGCGTCGTCTCTTAGCGAGGATAGCGGTAGCGGTGGTGCGGTTCCCGCTGCGCTGCCAGAGTCCAGCGGGCTCATGTCGTTTCTTGAGCCCGCGCACGAAACGGACGCGCAGCTGCTGCAGCCGCGCGCGGCGGAAGAGCGACCGGACATGCCCGTCGGTGAGAAGGATGACGTGGCAGGTGAAGAGAGACGGGGTGGCGATGCGGACGTTGCGGCCAGGGGAACGGAATTAGGAAACCCGGCTTCCACTGAAGCTGGGAAACAGAGATCAGAATTGCCGGCGGAGGGTCGAAAAGCGGATGAGGCGGCCGCAGGGCGGGAAGGGGTGGCTTCTGCGGATGGGCAAGCGGAGAGCGCGGGTGGGGGGGAAGGTGGAAACGAGGGTTCCCCAAGGGATGGGTTAGCGCGCGGGGAGGCTGGCCCTGGGGAGGCGGAAGGGCACGCGCAGGTGGCGGCAGGCGGAGCCGCGGACGGGGTAAGCGGGGATCGCCCAGCGGCGATTGCAGCTGCGGATACAAGCGAGGAGGTGAGGGGAGGGGGAAGCGAGGAGGGGGAGGAAGAGGAGGATCGGGAGAGCAGCGGGCGGGAGGTGGCGTCGCTGCGACGGCAGTTGGCGCAGCAGCGGGAGGTGAGCGCTGTGAGGGAGACAGTGCTCGTGGAAGAGCTGACGTGGATGAAGAGCGAGCTGACGCGGCTGCAGGCGGCAGCGCGGGAGGCGGAGAAGGGGAGGGAGGAAGTGGAGAGGCGGAGAGCGGAAGAGGAACGGAGGCGCAACGAGGAGACGCAGAAGCTGAGCGCGGAGAGTGGCGCGCGGGAGAAAGCGCGGCGGAAGGCGGAGGGGGAGGTGGAGCGGCTGCAGGTGCTGTGCGCGCAGCTGCAGGCGTCGCTGGCGGAGGCGGCGGAGGGGCGCGAGGCGGACGCGAAGGCGCGCGAGCAGATGGCGCGGAGGGTGGAGCGGATGGAGGACGAGCTGGAGGCGGAGCGCGTGAAGGCGCGCAGCCTGCAGGCGGAGATGGCGGACGTGGAGGCGGGCGCGGACGAGGAGATGGGGGAGCTGGAGGAGCGCGTGGGCGCGCTGGAGGCGCGGGTGGCGGAGCTAGAGGCGGAGAAGAAGGGCATGGCGCGGGCGGCGGAGGAGGAGAGGCGCGAGTGGCGGAGGAAGGTGGAGGCCGCGGAGGCCATGGCGAGTGCTGCTGCTGCCGTGCATAAGAAGGACCTGGAGGTGGGCAGAGAGCGAGGTGAGAGATAGGGAGGCGAGAGATGGAGGTGAGGAAGGGAGGCAAGACCGGGAAGTGAAAGTGGGAGACAGAGAAGACTGTGGGTAGTTTGGGGCGTGGGATGGGGGCGTGGCAGTTGAATGTGGCCATGACTGGCATGGAATGTTGGGAGTCCCTGGGCACCTGTGACTGAGGGATTTCGGCAGAGAAACTCCAATCTTCCACATAATGCCCGGTTCTATGGGTGGCTATGCATACACGTCTGCCCCTGCTTCCCATGTTCATTATGTGCACGTGCATTTATGAATGGATTGTCCACGTGCATTTATGAATGGATTATCCACGTGCATTTATGAATGGATTATCCACGTGCATTTATGAATGGATTATCCACGTGCATTTATGAATGGATTATCCACGTGCATTTATGAATGGATTATCCACGTGCATTTATGAATGGATTATCCACGTGCACACGCCAGGCGGTGGAGAGGAAGCGGGATGCTGCGCAGCAGCAGGTGCAGAAGCTGCGGGAGGAGCTGGGGGGGGCGAACAAGGCTCTGGCGGAGGCAAGGGAGGCGGTGAGAGTGAGTGAGGCGGAGAGGGCGGAGCTTGAAGAGGTGGCGGGGGAGAGAGAGGCCAGCATGGAGGCTGCTCGCACCCAGCTCACACATTTGCAGGCCGAGGTGCGTGGGGCGCCTGGTAGGGGGGTGAGGCGCCTGGTAGGGGCGTGGGGCGTGTATGAGGTGCATTGCTGTATGAGGTGCATTGCTGTATGAGGTGCATTGCTGTATGAGGTGCATTGCTGTATGAGGTGCATTGCTGTATGAGGTGCATTGCTGTATGAGGTGCATTGCTGTATGAGGTGCATTGCTGTATGAGGTGCATTGCTGTATGAGGTGCATTGCTGTATGAGGTGCATTGCTGTATGAGGTGCATTGCTGTATGAGGTGCATTGCTGTATGAGGTGCATTGCTGTATGAGGTGCATTGCTGTATGAGGTGCATTGCTGTATGAGGTGCATTGCTGTATGAGGTGCATTGCTGTATGAGGTGCATTGCTGTATGAGGTGCATTGCTGTATGAGGTGCATTGCTGTATGAGGTGCATTGCTGTATGAGGTGCATTGCTGTATGAGGTGCATTGCTGTATGAGGTGCATTGCTGTATGAGGTGCATTGCTGTATGAGGTGCATTGCTGTATGAGGTGCATTGCTGTATGAGGTGCATTGCTGTATGAGGTGCATTGCTGTATGAGGTGCATTGCTGTATGAGGTGCATTGCTGTATGAGGTGCATTGCTGTATGAGGTGCATTGCTGTATGAGGTGCATTGCTGTATGAGGTGCATTGCTGTATGAGGTGCATTGCTGTATGAGGTGCATTGCTGTATGAGGTGCATTGCTGTATGAGGTGCATTGCTGTATGAGGTGCATTGCTGTATGAGGTGCATTGCTGTATGAGGTGCATTGCTGTATGAGGTGCATTGCTGTATGAGGTGCATTGCTGTATGAGGTGCATTGCTGTATGAGGTGCATTGCTGTATGAGGTGCATTGCTGTATGCGGTGCATTGCTGTATGAGGTGCATTGCTGTATGAGGTGCATTGCTGTATGAGGTGCATTGCTGTATGAGGTGCATTGCTGTATGCGGTGCATTGCTGTATGAGGTGCATTGCTGTATGAGGTGCATTGCTGTATGAGGTGCATTGCTGTATGAGGTGCATTGCTGTATGAGGTGCATTGCTGTATGAGGTGCATTGCTGTATGAGGTGCATTGCTGTATGAGGTGCATTGCTGTATGAGGTGCATTGCTGTATGCGGTGCATTGCTGTATGAGGTGCATTGCTGTATGAGGTGCATTGCTGTATGAGGTGCATTGCTGTATGAGGTGCATTGCTGTATGAGGTGCATTGCTGTATGAGGTGCATTGCTGTATGCGGTGCATTGCTGTATGAGGTGCATTGCTGTATGAGGTGCATTGCTGTATGCGGTGCATTGCTGTATGAGGTGCATTGCTGTATGAGGTGCATTGCTGTATGAGGTGCATTGCTGTATGAGGTGCATTGCTGTATGAGGTGCATTGCTGTATGAGGTGCATTGCTGTATGCGGTGCATTGCTGTATGAGGTGCATTGCTGTATGAGGTGCATTGCTGTATGAGGTGCATTGCTGTATGAGGTGCATTGCTGTATGAGGTGCATTGCTGTATGAGGTGCATTGCTGTATGAGGTGCATTGCTGTATGAGGTGCATTGCTGTATGAGGTGCATTGCTGTATGAGGTGCATTGCTGTATGCGGTGCATTGCTGTATGAGGTGCATTGCTGTATGAGGTGCATTGCTGTATGAGGTGCATTGCTGTATGAGGTGCATTGCTGTATGCGGTGCATTGCTGTATGAGGTGCATTGCTGTATGAGGTGCATTGCTGTATGTGCATTGCTGTATGCGGTGCATTGCTGTATGAGGTGCATTGCTGTATGAGGTGCATTGCTGTATGAGGTGCATTGCTGTATGAGGTGCATTGCTGTATGAGGTGCATTGCTGTATGAGGTGCATTGCTGTATGCGGTGCATTGCTGTATGAGGTGCATTGCTGTATGAGGTGCATTGCTGTATGAGGTGCATTGCTGTATGAGGTGCATTGCTGTATGAGGTGCATTGCTGTATGAGGTGCATTGCTGTATGAGGTGCATTGCTGTATGAGGTGCATTGCTGTATGAGGTGCATTGCTGTATGAGGTGCATTGCTGTATGAGGTGCATTGCTGTATGAGGTGCATTGCTGTATGAGGTGCATTGCTGTATGAGGTGCATTGCTGTATGAGGTGCATTGCTGTATGAGGTGCATTGCTGTATGAGGTGCATTGCTGTATGAGGTGCATTGCTGTATGAGGTGCATTGCTGTATGAGGTGCATTGCTGTATGCGGTGCATTGCTGTATGAGGTGCATTGCTGTATGAGGTGCATTGCTGTATGAGGTGCATTGCTGTATGAGGTGCATTGCTGTATGAGGTGCATTGCTGTATGCGGTGCATTGCTGTATGCGGTGCATTGCTGTATGAGGTGCATTGCTGTATGAGGTGCATTGCTGTATGAGGTGCATTGCTGTATGAGGTGCATTGCTGTATGAGGTGCATTGCTGTATGAGGTGCATTGCTGTATGAGGTGCATTGCTGTATGAGGTGCATTGCTGTATGAGGTGCATTGCTGTATGAGGTGCATTGCTGTATGAGGTGCATTGCTGTATGAGGTGCATTGCTGTATGAGGTGCATTGCTGTATGAGGTGCATTGCTGTATGAGGTGCATTGCTGTATGAGGTGCATTGCTGTATGAGGTGCATTGCTGTATGAGGTGCATTGCTGTATGAGGTGCATTGCTGTATGAGGTGCATTGCTGTATGAGGTGCATTGCTGTATGCGGTGCATTGCTGTATCCCTGCATGCATGCATCCCCCTTGGCCTCTCTCTCAGTGCTCTTCCCACCCTCGCTCCCCCCCCCCGCGTCCCACCGTGTTCTTCAATCCCGATCCCGCTTATTGCACTACCCACCTCTTTCACCTCCCTCCTGTTCCCCCGCCACCCTTCCCCCAACCGTCCCTCATACGTATTACTTCCTCCGGCCCATCCCTTCACTCTCCCCCTCTCCAACTTCCCCTGATCGCTCCTCAGTTGGAGGTAGCGCGGAGGGAGGCAGCAGAGGGCGGGGTGAAGGTAGCAGAGGCGATGGCGGAGGTGTATGCAGCGAGGAAGGAGGTGCGCGCACGGGGCGTGCAGGCAGAGGAGACCCAGCAGCTCGAGGCCAAGCTCTCTGCCGCCACTGCTGCTGCTGCCAGCGCAGGCGCAGAGGCGGAGGAGCTGAAGGGGAAGGTGGCGGCGGGGGAGCGGGAGGTGAAGCAGGTGCGGCGTGGGCTTGCCGCTGTGGAGGCTGAGCTGGCGCTGGCCAATCAGAGAGCGGCGGAGGCGGAGCAGCAGGCTGAGGAGGCCAAGAGGCAGCGTGCGCAGGTGAGAGGGAGGATAGGGGTGGGGCAGGAGGGAGGGGAGGAATGTGGAGAGGGAAGATGAGGGCTGGGGAGGGGGGAGTGAGGAAGGAGGGAAGTGGTGATAGCAGCTCGGACTAGTAGTCTACTCTCAAGGGCTCTTGCTTTGCTGTCTCGTTTGTTGCTCCCTCCCTATCCCCACGCTTCTTTCCTGTGGTTCTAATCCCATCCCCCCTCCATACCCCCTTTACATCGGGGCCTGCGCATCCTGCCATGTCTGCATGACTCCATGCCTCCCTGCATCCATGCATGTGTGCAGGCGGAGGGCACGAGTGAGCAGCTGAGGGAGGAGACGGAGCGGCGGGCAAAGTTATTCAACGCCGCTGTCAAGGCTTCTGTCAGCAGGATACAATCGGTGAGTCAGCAGATGCAGTCGGTGAGTCAGCAGATGCAGTCGGTGAGTCAGCAGATACAGTCGGTGAGTCAGCAGGTGCAGGCGATGACTCACTCATGCCTTGGTTGATCAACTTAGCTGGATATCGTTGGTGCGTCCCATCATGCCCCATCACTTACCGTCGCATCTCATCACGTCCCATCATGCCCCATCACTTACCGTCGCATCTCATCACGTCCCATCATGCCCCATCACTTACCGTCGCATCTCATCACGTCCCATCATGCCCCATCACTTACCGTCGCATCTCATCACGTCCCATCATGCCCCATCACTTACCGTCGCATCTCATCACGTCCCATCATGCCCCATCACTTACCGTCGCATCTCATCACGTCCCATCATGCCCCATCACTTACCGTCGCATCTCATCACGTCCCATCATGCCCCATCACTTACCGTCGCATCTCATCACGTCCCATCATGCCCCATCACTTACCGTCGCATCTCATCACGTCCCATCATGCCCCATCACTTACCGTCGCATCTCATCACGTCCCATCATGCCCCATCACTTACCGTCGCATCTCATCACGTCCCATCATGCCCCATCACTTACCGTCGCATCTCATCACGTCCCATCATGCCCCATCACTTACCGTCGCATCTCATCACGTCCCATCATGCCCCATCACTTACCGTCGCATCTCATCACGTCCCATCATGCCCCATCACTTACCGTCGCATCTCATCACGTCCCATCATGCGCAGTTCGCCTCCCCTCCTCACAACACACCCCCGTGCGCATGCCTGTTCTCAGGAGTTGGAGGAGGAGCGGGACGAGGCGTTGCAGCAGGTGCAACAGCAGGGGGAGGCGATGGAGCAGATGAGACAAGACATGCGAGCTCTGGAGGTGAGACTCACACGGCTGTGAGATACTGCAATCCACAGGAGCTGTGAGATACTGCCATCCACAGGAGCTGTGCGTAGTTATTGGTTGTGCTTGAGTCACAGCGATCATGCCTTTTCACGACTATGGCTTCTTGCTCCCAGGGCTTCTGGCACCCGTGTTTGACTCCTGACTCGAAACACTTTCACTCATGAAGATGAAGTCTCCTCCCCACCAATCACATTCCTCCCTCTTCTCCTCATCATCCTCGCTTTTGACCCTTAACCGCCTTCCTCTCACACTGCCACCATAGGTGCGGCTGGTGGAGGTGGAGGGGGAGCGAGCGGCACTGGAGAAGAGGGGGGAGGAGGCGGAGGGGAGGGAGGTGCAGCAGCAGGTGGTGGTGGAGCGACTGAGGAGGGAGGTGGAGGAGGGGGAGGGGCGCGTGAGAGCAGCAATGGTGGCGGCAGAGGGGGAGAGGCAGGCGGTCAAGCAGCTGCAAGGCAAGGTGAGTGCAAGTCAGGAAATGTGGGTTACCCTTGCCTCTTCTCCTTGGGAATGCACCCGTTCTTAACTCATCAATCTATAAGTGAATCGCCTGCTCATCAATCTATAAGTGAATCGCCTGCTCATCAATCTATAAGTGAATCGCCTGCTCATCAATCTGTAAGTGAATCGCCTGCTCATCAATCTGTAAGTGAATCGCCTGCTCATCAATCTATAGGTGAATCGCCTGCTCATCAATCTATAGGTGAATCGCCTGCTCATCAATCTATAGGTGAATCGCCTGCTCATCAATCTATAGGTGAATCGCCTGCTCATCAATCTATAGGTGAATCGCCTGCTCATCAATCTATAGGTGAATCGCCTGCTCATCAATCTATAAGTGAATCGCCTGCTCCATTCTGGCTGACACTGCATGTCTCTCCTTCCTCCCACACACCTGCATGCCTTTGCACCTACCGCTGCTCGCCATTCATGACAATTCCCTGACCTGCCCGCCCGAACCCCCTGCATGGTAGCTGGCAGAGTCGGAGGCGAGGAAGGTAGAGGCAGAGGCGGCAGCAGGGGCGAGAGAGAAGGAAGTGGAGGCACTGCGGCAGCAGGTGGCTGACATGCAGCGCGAGAGCACCTCGCTCAAGGTGCGAGTGTGATGGGGCGGGAGGAGGGGTGAGTGGGCAAGGAGAGATAAGAGGAGGGGTGAGTGGGCAAGGAGAGATAAGAGGAGGGGTGAGTGGGCAAGGAGAGATAAGAGGAGGGGTGAGTGGGCAAGGAGAGATAAGAGGAGGGGTGAGTGGGCAAGGAGAGATAAGAGGAGGGGTGAGTGGGCAAGGAGAGATAAGAGGAGGGGTGAGTGGGCAAGGAGAGATAAGAGGAGGGGTGAGTGGGAAAGGAGAGATAAGAGGAGGGGTGAGTGGGCAAGGAGAGATAAGAGGAGGGGTGAGTGGGCAAGGAGAGATAAGAAGAAGATGACTTTGCAGGAGAGAGGGCGAGAGGGGCAGGGGCATTTGGGCATGGCTGGCAGGCAGGGTGTAGTGAAGGATTGACTTGGCATAATCTTGTTCTCTTACTTTTCACACTGTGCCCGGGGTGCCAGGTGGCAGCACTAGAGGCGTCCAACAGGGCAGGGGAGGAGGAGCGGCGGCTGCAGAGGAGAATCAGCGAGTTGGAACAGCAGGTGGCCTCTGCTGCTGCCCGCGCTTCCAAGGCGGAGGAAGCTTCTGAGAAGGAAGGGCCCAGGAGAGTGAGCGGTGATGGTGCGGGGAGCAGTGGGAGCAGCACGGCGGTGACATCATCGGCCAAGGCGCGGGCGGGTGGGGGTGGCGGTGCGGGTGGGGGAGCAGGGTGGAGCAACCCATTGGAGGGGTTGGGACTGGAGACGGTGCGGTGGAAGGATAAGCTCAAGGCTGAGAGCGAGGGCGATGTGGAGGTGAGTGAATCATGCAAAGTGGTCACAAGTGTTTGTCCCTCCGGTGTCCCTCCGGCCTCCTCCCCCCTGTCTGATTGCATTTGCTAGTCAATTCAGGTTTCCTTCCTCTCTTTCATTAGCCCCCCCCCCCCCCCCCACCCTCCATCTCTCCCCACTTCCCTCGATCATGCACCACCACAGGCCGGACCATCATCCGCTGACAGATCACGAAAGTCGCGACTTACGCATTCGAGTCAGAATCTGTCTGCCACGTCAGCAGGCACACTGGCCTCACTGGTTGGCTCGGCCCGCCGCCTCTTCTTTGAAGACGATCGTCTTTCCGCTGCGCCTGGGAGAGTGTCTCGCCGCACCTTCCTTCTACTTGCTTATGTCTTCCTCCTCCACCTCATGGTATGTATTCCCCTCAAGCCAAACATACATCTGTTTCCACTTCATCGTTGCATTATGCCCATGAAGGGCACACATGGTTGTGTTGTTTTACAATATGTGCATGCTTTGTTTTTTCACAGGTTATGGTCTCCTTCACGCATCACTCAGCTCCAAAATGTTCTGATGTGATGGATTTGCCTGGATGATACTTTGAAAGGTACCGTGGTGGTTATTTGCCAATAGCAGAAGTTGAGTTGATTGTTCATACTAGCACGAATTAGTATGCAAAATCATATGCTTGTAACATTTTCCTCTAGGGCCGAAGAGCTGCGGATGGCCCCAACGGGCATTATTTTCGCGCCTGAAAGTAATGTCCTTTGGCTCGGGTCACGAGCTGGTCCCACATTGTTGGAGTGGTCTCATTGGTTTGCGCTTTTCCGAACCAGCGGCATCAACAAGGAATCCAGAAAAAGCAAACCAGGTTCGTCGGGTGCCCCTTTCGTTCACAGCGCGTATCGGTGACCCAGACTCCGCACAACACCAATCCCACTCTCTGCAAACGCCAGTGACTTCCGCCCCTACATGTTGTAGCGTATCCCCTTCATTCAATCATGCCTTCCCCCAACCCCACCTCCCCTTCTGCCCTTTCTATTCACCCGCTACCCTAGCGCCATACTTGACCCAAGCATTTCCCCCCCGCCTCGCCCCGCCTCGTCTCACCCCACCCCGCTGTTCCCCGCCTCGCCCCGATGCGCTGTTCATCACGCCACCCCTGCTTCAACAGCCATCTTTTCTTTCTGCTTCAGTCCAGCTCGCTGTGATGCGAAACCATTGTTCTGCTCGTGTCGTGCTGCATTCGTGGTAGTTCACCTCTTGGTTGCTGCTGCTGCTTCTGTTAGATAGCCCAACTTATACATTCGCGCATTCAGCGCCTTCTAACTAGACGCTCGGATTGTGACGGTAACCTTAGTCGACAATAGCAGCGTCGTTCTTTCGACCGTGGCCCATCAGGACCCATAGCGGACTCACAGCGGACCCTTAGTGGACCCTAGTTGCAAGCTTTCAGCGTACTCGTGCAAAGCTACCTCACTTCTTCCGTTTTCACACTGACGTACACGCATATTCACTAGATGCTAGACTTAATGACCTCTTAGTCCCAAACGCCTATACTCAAGTGCAAAGCGAAGAAAAAACTACTTTGTTATCCATAGAGATTCTGATTGCGAGCAACACGTTTTAGACCGACAGATATTTTCTTTTCTTCCCCTCGTCTCCCTTAGCAAGTTTGATCCTTCGGAAATCGGATATTCCCGCATCGTAACCTCTATTTGCCTGGTGGTGAGAAAGCAAGCGCGACCCGCAGACCTCCACTGCAGCCATGGCGGACCCTCCATCTCACTCCGGGCGACCGCCTCGCACGCCGCGGACCCCGACGCTTCGCAGCATCCCGACGCTGCGACGCGGGATGAGCAAGCGAGACTGGGAGCTTGAGCACAACGACAAGGAGCGGCGGCGGCGCGAGCGAAAGGAGCAGAAGCTGGAGCGGAAGCTGCACGACCTGGAATCGGAGGATGACGCGGAACGCAGCGAGGATGAAACCGGTCACCACCACCGTCGCATGGGACCCAAAGTGCCGATGCTGAAGAAATTCAAGCAGACGATGAAGAAGAAGAAGTACCAGAAGCTTCTGGAGAAGCTTCAGGAGATTCAGGACGAGCGGACGGAGGAGGAGTTGGCGAAGGTGGGCGAGCTGCGGAAGATTCTGGCGGAGAAGAACCTGCTGCCGCCCAGATTGAACGAGCACCACATGCTTCTCAGGTGAATCCAACAATGACCATGCTGTTCAGGTGAATCTTAGGATCACACTGCATGCTGCTCAGGTGATTTTTAGGGCACCACTGCATGCTGTTAGGTGAAATTAATGGACGCTACATGCTGTTCAGGGGAATTCGGCGAGCACCAGATGCTGCTTAGGCATTTCAGAAACGGCGTGTGATACTCTCAAGAAACGCCACATGCTGCTCATCCTCCCACGCTACCCCACTCACGCTCCTCGTTCCCACTACTCCCCCCTCCCTCCGCCCCTCACTCCGCCCTTATCCCGCATTTCCTCCGCCCCTCTCTCCGCGCGCCGTCCTTTTGGGGGGGCCGGCCGGCAGGTTCCTGAAGGCGCGCAAGTTCGACATGGAGAAGACGACGGAGATGTGGGCCGCCATGCTCCAGTGGCGCGAGGAGTTCGGCGTCGATGAATGCCTCAAGGTGCGTGAACCATAAATTCTATTCCCCCGTTCCCACATGGTCCCATGCTCCCATTCCCCATGATGCCATGCCTCCATGCCCCCGTGCTCCCATGCCCCCATTCCCCCACGTCCCCACACTCCGTTCCCCACACTCCCCACGGCCTTATTCCCACACTTCCCACACCCGAATCCCCCCACGCCCCGATGCCCCCACACCCCCACGCCGCACGCGCCCTGACCCCATTCCGGCGTGCGGGGGTGCAGTTCGAGTTCCCGGAGTTGGCGGAGGTGAAGCGCGTGTACCCGCACGGGCACCACGGCGTGGACCGCGAGGGCCGCCCCGTCTACATCGAACTCATTGGCCGTGTGGACGCCACCAAGGTGCGCGCAGCAGGGGGCGGAGAGGGGGGGGAAGGAGCGGCTGTTAGCAGGGAGCGAGAGAGGGTGGGAGGGTGGCGAGCAGAGGGCTGCAAGGGTGGTGGTAAGTCGTGCCGACGCTACCGATGTGGGGAGGATGGAGGAGTGGGCGGGGGGAGGGGAGCAGGGATGGGGAGCAAGGATGGGGAGAGGGGAGGTGAATAAAGCTGGGACTGACGGAGATGGGCTGGAGAGGGGCGGCAAGGAGGGTGGGTGGAGGGATGCTTGAAGGGATTGAAACGCGCACAGATGGTGGTGGGAGTGGTGTCTTGTGGTGGCGTCCAGAATATAGCATCTTGCCCTTGCCATGCAGTACCCCAGCCACGTGGTGCCATGCCCATTGCTTGTGTGTGACGATGGCATGGGAGCCGTCTGATGTGGCGCATGGGGCATGGGGACATGGGGCATGGAGCATGGTGCATGGGTAATGGGGTCTCGTACATGGAGCACGAGGCATGGTGCATGGGTAATGGGGTCTCGTACATGGAGCACGAGGCATGGTGCATGGGTAATGGGGTCTCGTACATGGAGCACGAGGCATGGTGCATGGGTAATGGGGTCTCGTACATGGAGCACGAGGCATGGTGCATGGGTAATGGGGTCTCGTACATGGAGCACGAGGCATGGTGCATGGGTAATGGGGTCTCGTACATGGAGCACGAGGCATGGTGCATGGGTAATGGGGTCTCGTACATGGAGCACGAGGCATGGTGCATGGGTAATGGGGTCTCGTACATGGAGCACGAGGCATGGTGCATGGGTAATGGGGTCTCGTACATGGAGCACGAGGCATGGTGCATGGGTAATGGGGTCTCGTACATGGAGCACGAGGCATGGTGCATGGGTAATGGGGTCTCGTACATGGAGCACGAGGCATGGTGCATGGAATATGGGCATGGGGTATGGGGTATGGCGTATGGGGTATGGAACATGGGATATGGTGGATGGGCCATGGCGGATGGTGCATGGTGCATGCCATATGGGGATCTTGAGGGTACGAGATTTTGAATTTGACATGCCTCCGTATGCTTGTTTGTGGTTGTGGTGTCACGGCTGGTGGTGGGGGTGGCAGGTGTTGGGAATAACAACGATGGAGCGGTTCCTAAAGTACCACGTGAAGGAGTTTGAGCGCACGTTCGCCCTCAAGTTCCCCGCCTGCTCCCTCGCTGCCAAGCGCCACATCGACCAGACCACCTCTATCCTCGACGTCGCTGAAATGGTGCGCGCCCCACTCATGCTGCTGCGCGCCCTGCTGCTGCTGCCACTGCTGCTGCTGTAACTGCTGCTGCTGCTGCTGCATGTGAAGCCACCTCTCGTCGCATCTCACCTTGATCTACAAAGTCAGCAGCATAGAGTGCTGCATTCGGGCGCGTCTCATTGTGCACCACATCGTCCTGCTCCCCACCCCACATGGCACATGGCACATGACGCATGGTATCTGGCACATGGCACATGGCACATGGCACATGGCAGGGCATGAAGAACTTCTCAGCAGATGCGAGGAACTTTCTGGCCATGGTATCAAAAGTAGATGGCGATAACTACCCGGAGGTATGGCGGGCACATGCTTGGAGTGATGGGTGCATGCATGCATGCAATGGCGGCACTTCCATCATATCAACTCGCTTCCCACCTTCCCCGTCCCATGCTTCTCGTTTTCCCATTGCTTCGTCATTCCCTATCCCACTTGCACCTCCAGTCACCGTTCCCCCTGCCACTCCCATTGCCCATGTCCCTATAACCCCCACCCCCCCACCCCCACGCACCTTTTCAGACGTTGAACCGGCTGTTTGTGGTGAATGCGGGGTTCGCCTTCCGCTCGCTGTGGTCGGGCATCAAGGGCATGCTCGACCCCAAAACCGCCTCCAAGATCCAGGTCCTCCCCCCGCCCCCCCGCCTCGCTCTGCGAGCTGCTCTGCCCTTCTGCCTCTTGCTCTCTCGCTCTTCTGACTCCACCCTTTGCACACCAGACTCCACCCTCCCTGCACCATACCACGCTATCCACCAACTTTCGCATGCCCCACCCTCGTCAATGCACTCCCAAGTGCTTCTTTCAACACCTCCGCATCCTTCCCGCCGTGCATGGGCACTCGTCCCATCCCCCTCTGTGTGCGTTTGTGTGTGTGTGTGCATGCACACATGCAGGTGCTGGGCACGGACTACAAGAAGAAGCTCTTTGAAGCCATCGACCCCAGGTGAGGGCCACGTGGGGCTTGGCACCGAGCTACCTGCAGTGACGGGCGCTTTGCTTGAAAGGGGGTGGCACTCGGTGGGGAATCCTTTGAGCGCGGGGTGAACCATGATTGGGGTAGCCCATGCAGGCTGCCACTTGGCGTGGCATGCCTTGGTCTCCCATGACGCACAAGCATGGCGTCTCCTCAATTCCACTATGTACGCAAGCACCCGATCCTTTGCCTCCTTCACACCTGCTCTCCTTCTCCCCTCCTTCTCCCCCCCCTCCCTGCCCCCCGCCCGCCCGCCCATGTGCGCCAGTCAGCTGCCGGACTTCTTTGGCGGCACGTGCACATGCGAGGGCGTGGAGGGCGGGTGTCTGATGTCGGACAAGGGGCCGTGGCGCGACGGGGACATCCTCAGGGTGGTGCGGCTGCAGCGCACCGGCACCCTCAGCGGCGGCAACCCCGAGGACTTGCTGCGAGGGGGGCGCATCCGCTGGCAGTCGGGGCAGTTCAAGGTGCGCGCTTGGGGGCCTCTCGGCTCTGCTGCGCCCGTGCAGCACTGTGCCCTCCATGCCTCTGTGATTTCTCCGTGTGGGCGATGTGTCGTTGCTCAGTGGGTTCTTAACCCGTGTCTTGCTTCTTTTCTTTCTTTTCGGGCTTTCGTTGAATCCAGTGGATGGCTTGTGCTGTGGCCCATCTCCCCTGGCCCCTCACCCATTGTGCTGTGTTCCCTCCCCTGGCCTCCACCTGGACGCGGAGGACATAGGCGACGCTGGCAGCAACGTGCTGTGTAAAGATCTTCAGAACCCCTTTCCTTTCCAACCATATACCCTCCGCCCCTTCCCCCTTGACAGATGGACGCGGAGGACATCGGCGACACGGGCAGTGAGGTGTCGGACCTGGACGACCTGGGCACGCCCTCCTTCAGCGGACTCACCACGCCCAACTTCAGCCTGGGCCAGCATGACCTGCACAACCTCGACCTCGTGCGCGCCCCTCCCTCCCCTCCCTCCTTCCCTCACATCTGCACTTCCATAATCCATTCCCCAGCCTCCAGCATGCATCATCTATTTTCTTTCTAACCTCCGTCGTACATCATCCATCATCCTTGTTACATGTTGCAACCCTGACCATCATCCGCCTGCTGGCCACATTCCTCCAGGCCGTCTGCCTCCCCCTCCTACCTCTCACCATCCCGTTTCACCCCACCACCACACACCTCTGCCGCCCTTCCCCGTCAACAACCCCACTCTCTCTCCCCGCGTCCCCCCCCCCGCCCGTCCACGCGCCCAGCATCTCAACTCGCTCAACTCGAGCCGCTTCTTCAACGACCCCACCACCACCACGCCCTCCTCCGCCGCCGCCGCCTCGCTCACCCACGCCGCCTCCGCGCACCGCTCCGCCAGCATGCAGCGCCGCGCGCCCGCCTCCACCCACCGCGCTGCAGGGCCGTCCCTCTCAGGCTCCGCCACATCCAGTGATGACGAGCGCGAGGTGTCCCGCACGGGGTCCGTGGCATCGGATGACCGCAGTGGCGAGCTCAGCTCCACGGGCATGAGTGCGGGCGCGGGTAGACGGCTGAGTGTGGGCGTGGGGGAGGTGACATCTGGGGCGGGGGGCACGCCGGGTTCAGCAGTGTCGGCGTTGAGAGCGGGCGGCAGGGGGAAGCAAATCTCAACTCCGCCATCCAGAAACTACGGTGGGTGGCTGGTGGCTCTCATTGTGCCGCCTTACTTGACTCACAAGTCCGTGCTGGGGGCTGTCTGCCTTGGCCGACACGGGTGAACAATGACCTCACCATCCCTCACTCCTCCCACCATCCCTCACCCCCAACACCCCTGCATGCCCCCCGCTCCAATCCCATCCCGCAGGCACATCAGCATCAGCATCAGGTGGGGCAGCGCTAGCAGGCGTGCCCATGATGGTGCCCTCCTCCTCCCCGGCGCCCGACTCACTGGCAGCAGCCACGGGGCTCGTCTCGCTGCTCATGTCTTTCTTCTCAGCTGTCGCCAACCTGCCGCTCCTCTTCTCCCGCATTGTCATTACCGTCACGCCGCCCGCTAACCGCCTGGAGGGCGGCGGCGTGGCGGCAGGGGGGCCGATGGCGCCGCCCGGGGCGCAGGCAATGCTGACACCGGAGCAGCTGCTGCGGCGCGTGCAGGAGCTTGAGAGCCAGGTGCAGCGACTGCTCGTGCAGAGGGGCGGGGCTGCGGGGGCTGAGCCTGAGAGAGCCATGGGGCAGCCTGGAGTGAGCCAAGTAGCGCGCTGCTACACGCGCTTGGGGCTGGTAGAGGCGCTTGGGCTGGTACAGGTGCTTGGGGCTAGTAGAGGGGGCAATGAATGACTCGTCCATTCAAATGGCACCGAAATCACAGATCTTGTTGTCTTGCACATGCATCGCTGGCTTGGCCTTTGAGTCTTCTGGCCCATCTCGTTCTTCCTTTCCTTCCTGCCCTTTCTGCCAAGCTCGTCATTGCAGGCTCTCAAGTGATGTGATGGCCCAACACCCCTCCGCCCCTCCCCCCCACTGTGCCCCGGCAGGTGGAGAAGCTGGCATCCAGTCCGTCCACGCCTGCGCTGGCCCCGCGCCCGGAGCCGCCCCCCCCGGACTGGCCGCAGCCAGCTGTGGAGCGCGTCACGGCGCTGGAGTCAGAGCTCGCCACCACCAAGAAGGTGCTCAGAGGGGTGGGGGAGTGGTGGGTGCGGGTGGATGGTGTGGTGGTAAGGGGGTTGGTGAGACAGTGGGTTATGGGTTAGGTCAATTTGGTTCGAAGTTCAGCTGCTGTGTGCACGCGCCTGCCATGCTGAAGGGGTGATGTCATCACCTTGCCGCTTCCCTCTCTGCCTGCTCCCCTCTGCCTGCCCCCTTCCTTCCTCGCTGGGTGCAGATGCTGAAGGAGCTACTGGACAGCCAGGAGCAGCTGAGAGTGCTCATTGAACAGCTGCAACTACGCAAGGTGCCTGCCCTGCCCACCCTGTTTTATTCGATGCATATACTTATTCACGCATCCGCAATTATGCAATTATGCACCATGCCTCCGTGCTGTCGTGTGCATGCTACACTAACACGCGTCCTCGTCTAACTCCGCTGTTTTTTTTACTCATGCTTTGTGGGTCTGCCACATCTCTCCCTTCTGTGCTTGGGTTACCAGCAACGGAGATTCGGCGGGTGCTTTGGTTGAATGGTGAAGCAACACGCCCAGGAGATGCTTGTTTCTTTCCAAAACTTAGTGGTTTTGGAGTCTTAGTAAAAGCTGATGCCTATGTACAACTCAAAGGGGTGTGCTGGGAAATGTGTTAATGAAGTATCCTGTATATGTTTTTATGACGCGCCTTTTTTCGCACTTTGTAGGATTGTACACGTACGGTATACATATTTCTCTGCTACAGTGAGAAGGTGCTGGCGCAGGTGAACTTTCAAGCAGGTCCTATGTTCGGGCAGGTGGGTCTAATGTTGCGCCAACTCCCGCTCCGCGCATTCGCGCTTGTCGCACTGCTGTCCGTTCGCTGTCGCTCCCCCTCTTCCCATTCTTCCGCCGAGTCCCCCGCAATCCGACCTCCACCAATTCGCCCCTCCCGTCGCTTGCCCAATTGATTGATTGTTTGTGCTCATCTATTCGCGCCATTCATCTCCAGCCCTTCCATAACTGTCATAGCTAACTCGCATCGCATCCCCTCTCCCCTACTCAACGATTGTTCATGCAGTGCCTAGATTTTGCGCTCGGCCTCAAAATCAGCGTATTGTATACTTTCAGCGACGCGCGTTGCGTCCATCTTCCCCGGGGCCCGCGGCACCCCTTCCGACAACTCTTTGAATCCCGATCGTCATGGTTCCGTCGCTCGGCGCGCTTCAATCAGTCGCATTGGCGACGATCGTACTTGTCGCCAGCCATGCCGCCGTCGCACACGCCCAGTTGAGTCGCGAAAAAGCCGCTCGCGCTCTCATTTATTCAGATTGTGACATTCGGTGTTAACAGCTTCTTTTCTTTTCAGATTTACGATTGAGTCGAATACAATCACCATCGCCATGCCACCAATCCTTCTCTCCCCTTGCACCGCGTGACCCTCTCCGCACTCATCAACGTGTCCCTCTCTCCCGCCGCTTCCGCGCGCGCGCATCCACCCCCCTCCGACAGGTGGGGATGGGCGCAGGGCGCGGGGGAGACGCAGCTGCGCGCGGAGTACGAGAGTCAGCTGTTCGACGGCGTGGTGACGGTGCTGGTGACCACCGACGAGGTCAAACTGCTGGTGAGCCGCCAGTCAAACCGCTGGTGCATAGGACGTACCCGTGTCACAGCTTGCGCACACACATGCGCGGACAGATGTGCGGACAAGGAATAGGCACGGAACAAGTGTCTGGTTGTGTGCTGTCCCCTTGAACATCCCGATTGTGCCTCAATTGCGCACATCGCCTCAAATGCCGTTGTCACTCATCTCTAACCGCAGCATGTGATGTGGCTGGCTGGGCATGGGCCATGGGGCATGGTGCATGGGGCATGACGCATGGTGCATGGCGCATGGGGCATGGCGCATGGGGGACGGCGTGGTGCATGGCGCACGGGGGAATGGGGCATGGAGCGGGCAGGTGCCGACACCAGACGAGCTGAAGAAGCCCAACCCCACCTTCGACTACGCGCCCTACCACGAGCGCTTCCCCCTGCCACAGGGTGAGTGCTGCTAACGGTTAAGGGAAGAGGAAATCGCAGCTCGCATGCTCTCATCCCCCATTCCCAATCTGTGAAATCCACACAGCACCCACTTCCCCCATCTGCCGCCCCTTCTTCTCCCACGTGGCCCCCCTGCTCCCCCCACGGGCCACCCACCAGGCTCAGCGCGCTTCACAGCCATCAACCACGTGGACGTCTTCTACGACCCACTGGGCTGCCTGCCTCTGGGCGACCTCGCCGCCACGCCCCTCGCCGCCTCCACCGCTCTGCAACGCATCCCACCAGGGCTGCAGCACATCTGCCACTCGTGCTTCTTCTTCTTCACCTTCTCCTTCCTCTCGCCGCGCGATGCCGACGCCGTGGGAGCGGGGTGCCAGCGCCTGTCGGACAAGTACAGTGTGTGCGCACCTGACAGCATCCCTGCCGCGTTTGGGGCGGCGCCGGCGGGTATTCCCGAGGTGCAGAGGGCGTCGGGGTTTCTCTTTCCCGACTCGGAGCTCGCCGAGGAAGACACCACCTCCAAGCTGCGCGAGCCCTCCCGCTCCCTCGCCCACATGTGAGCCGCCCTGCCCACATGTGAGCCGCCCTGCCCACATGTGAGCCGCTATACCTAGCTTAAGCCACCCTACCCTGTCGTACTCCCTCTCGGCCCCTCTTCGTTCCCCTTCAGCCCTTGGCGCCGCTCCCATCACTCCTCGTTCGTCCCCTTGCCTCAGCTCCCCTCATCCACTCCTCTTACTCCTCCCGCTCAACCGGTACCTCTCAACACAACTCCGTCCTCTCCACTCTTGTCCCCTTACATCAGAGCGCTACCGGGGGTGGGGGCGTTGGTGACATTCAACACGACGCCGCAGAGGGACAACGCGCTGCAAGTGTGGCAGCCCAAGTACTATCTCGCCACCAACGGATCCAAGGTGCTGCCAGGCGCCACAAGAGGGCGCGGGAGGGGCATGCGGGCGTGGGAAGGGCAAGATGGTTTTTGGGGGCGTGGGAGGGGATGTGAGGGGATGTGAGGGCGTTGAGGTCTTCAGCATACAAGCCTCTGACCCCTTCACACGCTGCCATCAACCTGCCTCTCTCTCCTCTCTCCACCCTTCCCCTCCTGCCTCCTGACCCCTGCTCCTCACCCCGTGTCCCGGACCCCAATTCCCCCATGCTGCTTGCGCACCCTGCTCGCATCCCAGGTGGTGGGCGTGGGGCAGGCCGTGACGACAACACTAATCAACGAGGCCTACGTGGCGTATGACACCAAGCGCACCACCTACGACGCCTACACGCACGCCCTCGTCTCCCCCGCCTCTGCCGCGGCCACATTTGGGTCGCTGGGAGTGGAGGGCGCCTTCCCCAAGGACCTCTCCTTTGCCCTCGCCGCACCCCGCCAAGGCACCTTCCAAGTCGTTGCCTCTGGCTTCTCCCAGGTGTGTAGAGGGGGGAGGGAGAGGGGGGGGGACGGAGAGAAGGGGAGGGGGTGGGAGGGGGCCGGGGCGTGGGGCATGGGCCATGGGGCAGGCGGGGTAGGCAGGAAGTGGGAGGAAGAATGGGGGTGGTTGTTTATGGGGAGGTGGATTGTTGAGGTTAAAGGAAAGCAAGGAAGCAATGTGTGTATCCAATGAGTCCGCTGAGAGCGAGGGAAATGGAAGGTGGGCTCAGTATGGTCTTTCTTGCATGCCCGTTTACCATCTTCCCATGCCTCTCTGCACTTCAGGTGACACCAAAGTCGGCGCCTCTCCATGCAACTGTCCCTCTCTCACTGTCTCTGGCACTCGTAGCTGCTGCTCTTGCTCTTCTCTGATGTGGCGTTGCTTTGAATGTCACTTGAGATCCTCGTTCCTCATAGTGGTGTTGCTTGGTGCACATTGCCTAGTGGGTGGGTAGCTGAACACCAGCTACCTACTGGGGTGATGTTTGAAGGGACGTTGTGGGTAATACCACTGTAAGCTACTCAGCTCGTGCTATCACCTAGGTAGGTGCTGGTTCAGAAATTCATTCACTGTAATGTATGACCTGTATAAGGACAGTCCAGTTCCATGATCCTACTGGTCCTTACTGGAGAGAGATCAAAACAATAGCATGGAGCCTCACATTATGGCGCGCGGTTTTGCTTCAGCTGGCGCAACAAATTGTCGTTCGTAGTGCAATGCTTTCTTGGGGCTGCATTTTTGCCCTGCCTTTCACCCGACCCTTCCATCCGTCGTCCTCACAGCGTCGCACAGCGCGTCGCGGAGTCTTAAGACGTTGACAAACTCGCGGGTCGTAGGTTTATAAACGGGCGGAGAGCATGGCGGCAGTTTCTTGGTTCATGCTGAGTGGCCGTGGCGCGGTGAGACGGCGAGATGCCGCGCTCCGTCAGTACGGGAACGGCTGCGAAGCGCTTATAAGCGGAAGAACGAATGAGTTTTATGGGGCCCCGGCTCCGCTCACCCGCTTACCGTCCCCGCGCAAACCGCGTCGTGCATCCCCCCAACGCATCATTGTTTCCGTTACCCTTGAAATCAGGGGCGTTCCGAATCGCTGACCGAGTCGCCGATCCGTATGCACGACAGCAGCCCGCACGATCGCGCTACGAGGAGGTGCCTTCGCGGACGGAAGCCAGGTGCGTTGGGAGTGCGGGTTCGGACGGGAGGGGAAGCGAGCCACGGGTGTGCGAGCACTTGCTTTAGTGTGGGTCGCGAAGCAGGGTCTATCGCAAGCATTTCGCAGATGAGTCGCTTGACGTCGCCAGACAGCATGATCGCACGCACGGTGAGGGGGAACCGCACCCGGGCGGCGCGAATCCGTCGCAGCGTGTCGTGGTTGGAGCGCCCGAGGAATGGCTGCCGGCCGGTAAGCAGCGAGTAGAGCAGCACGCCCAGACTCCACACCTCCAGCGCGCCCAGCGCCGCCTCGTCCGCCGCCAGCGCGGAGGCCGCCGGCGGGGCGAACCGGGAAACCGACGTCGGCGCGAATGGAGCAGCCCCCGAGGGGATGGGAGGGTGAACGGGGAGGGCGCCCGTGTCGATGCAGGGCGGTGAGGGCAGCGCGGGAAGCATTTCGGGGGCGAAGAAGCAGAGAGGGCGGCAGCACGGCTCGTTACACGATCCGAACAGCAGACTCGGCGATTTCACGCTGCCGTCTCGCCGCCCGCTCCGATTCCGACTCAAGCCGCATCCCCGCGCGCCCCCGGGCGTCCCCGTGCTGGTTGCGGCGGCCCTGGTGGCGACGATGGTGTTGACGAGGCTGCGGAAGATGAGGCGCGCGTCGCACTCGGGGATCGGCCCGGCGACGCAATCGGAAAGCATGGGACTCTGCACCGTCCAGTCCGCAGACGAGGAGGATGCATTGCTGTAGCTGCTACAGCTGCTGCTGGTGCTGCTACAGCTATGGACAGAGCTCGAGCGCGAGTAGCACGAGGTGGAGGGCGCGGAGGAGTGGTGCGATGGGCACGGGGATCCGCGCGGAGAGGTTGCCGCGGATGGACCGGAGGGGTTTGCGGGGTGCCTCGGAGAAAATGCTGGTCGAAAGGGGTCCCGCGCTGCCATGGCTGACAGCTGCGTCGAGCTTGCTTCACACGAACAGAAGCTGGGGGGGGGGGGGGGGGGGGAGAGGATGAAGGAAACAGTGCTTGTGGCGTGCCTCGCCTTCTCCGACCATGGGATTGTGCTGGCTGACCATAAATTATCATGGTGGTGGATGCGACTTTTTGGGCCAAGAGGAAAACGTGCCCCGGTCCATGAGAGCTCTCCTTCCCAGCAGCACACTGCGGTGTGCTGTCTGTGTGTGAGATTGGCATGGACGGGCCGAGCAGGTTGTGGGCCATGCTGGTGTAACGGATGGCTTGGCATGGCGTGGCGATGGCTGGCTGGTGACAGCACAATCAACTGAGGCCAAGTGTCGAGTTTATAGGAGAGACAAGAATTTGGGGGAAGAGCAGACATAGTGTACGGTTTCGGAATTCGAATGTAACCGTAGGGCTCGATTGCCATACCCGCCCCTCATCATCCAAGTCTACACGCAGCTTGGTTTTTTGCTGTAGTTTGAGGATGGTTTTACTTGAAAGTATATAAGAAAACCTGCGATACCCAAAGAAACGGGATTGCTGAAACGCAAAGGGCCCGGCACGCGAAAGAGGAGGGGCACATCTGACATTCCAAACCACTGGAGGACGTTGTCTTGCCCGCTGTCTTAAAGCTTTCGTATACATTTGACAGAAGGGGTTCAAAAACTTTTGAAATTTGAAAGTTTGCCTGTGAGACCGTGAGGTGACTTTCTAAACCCAAAACCTGGATGACAAATGTATACTTCAGCTTTAAAAAATAACTGTATTTCTGCCACCACAACATGGATCTCTGGTCTGGCTGGACAGGGGTTCCCTGAATTCGCCGAAGGTCTTGCTCGGTTTTTGTGGTGACTGAGAGTCACCGCAGTTTCCGCAGGATGAAAGGACAAAAATTGGAGCATCAAATGAGATTTGCGTGAGTGTCGCATCGCAATTGGTGTGGAAGTTCTCCGATATTAAGATTCCCGAACTTGTCTCAGTTGCATAAATACACTTGCGCGGCATTCATTGTATGTTTCTTCCAAACCATCTGTGAACTTGTTTTGCTGGTGTGCATACGACATGTCTCTTATAGCCTGGAGATTTTACAAGCCTGCATTCATTTGAAGTAAAATTTCTTACGTTTTGGCTCATAAGCAGAGGAAAACAGGTAACGTTTTCTGCTGAGTGAATTTAGTAACATTTAATAAAACGACGTACAGCAGCACTATTCTACCGTGTTGTGCGCTTGCTCAGGTATGCTTTAACGAGGATTTGTCAAAATTTCCTTGCTGCCATGCCTTGGCGCCTTGTCAGGCGGTTCACTTCTCTTGGAGGATTCGCGTAAGCTAACCAATAGAAGGTCGTTGCGAGTTCGTTGACCCTCACGTACCAAGTCGCATAAACCACATCATCGAAGCGCGCCCGAATTGTTTCGCAAATTTCCCGTCCACCCCGCCAAACCTATGCTGGTCCTGCTTCTGTTCCATACAGTATCATGAATTCGTGTGCTTCGAATTCGCCCCTCCCAGACTCGTTGGTGGTTGTCCTTGTTCTGTGTCAATCATGAGCGGAGCTTTGGGATTCAGTTCGCCTAAGTGGACGCTTTTGCATCATCGAGACCCCACACCGGCATTACGCGCAACGACTGCAACCTTCGGGATTGTTTTAGACTGAACATTGAGTAATATGGATATGCTGCGGAATGAACTTATCAATCCAATCTGCTGAGCCATGGCGAGCACCCTATTTGCCCAGCTCAGCCGCATAGACGCGCATACTTAGCTAGTGACTAGTAGCTTCTCCAGCACTTCTGTACCACCCCTTCTAGTCTCGTTTTCCTCGCCATCTCTAACATCCTCTGTTTCGGTTTCATTAGCGCCCCCTTTCTGTTTCGGTTCCAGTAGCGCCGTCCTGCCACTCGAACGGGTGCCTTGATGGCTGCTGGGCGCTTAGCGCTTCGACCCAATGCTCGACGCCGCGTACCGCGTCGGCCCAAAGTTCCGCGCAGCCGCCTTCGTAAAGAGTCGGAGAGTTTTGAGGAACTGTCGGATTGGGCGGAGAGCGAGGAGGAAGAGGGGCAAGAGGGCACAGGGGAGGAAAGTCGAGTATGGGCGGAAGCAGAAGAGACGACAGGAGGCGGCGGTGGCGGAGAGAGTGAGCGAGAGGACAGTGCCGACAGCGGCGACGAGGGCAGTGTGGCATCGCAATCGACATACCTCATGCTCAACCCGTTTGCCGTGCGCGAGGAGGTAAGGCGGATGAGCCAGCGGGTGAGGCGAGGCGAAGGGGCCAGCGGAGGACCTCAGGCAAAGCGGAAGATCAACTTGCGCCCGTCAATTTCTTGTTTTTTTAGAAGCCTACCGCCCCGCGCCCACGCGACCATGTTTTCTCCCGCGCTTTTCTCCCGCCGCGCAGGTACAGCCCGTCCTGGAGGCCGCCGTGGCGCTGGGGCTGGACTTGGCGGGCTCGGCGGAGAGCGGCGGGGCGGGCACAGAGGGCGGGGAGGTGGCGGCGGCGGAGTTCTACTCGGCGGTGGACCGCGTGAGGGACGCGGTGGGCGCCATGGAGGCGGAGATCGAGCGCAGCCGACAGCTGCTCACTTCAGCCATGGAGGTTCTCGCGGCCGCCTTCGACAAGCATATCGGAGCTGTCGAGTGCGTCTTGCCGCCTCACGCCCCCTCGTTTCCCGCTCACCGCGGCCCGCGCACTTCATGCGCTACAAAAGAATGCACCCCATGCGTTTGCCTCTCGCTCACCTTGTCAAAACCCGTACTCCCTTCTCCCCTCTCCCCGCCTACCGCCCCAACCCTTCTCAAATTCCCATTGCTCCCGCCAACACTCCAGTGCGCTGGAATGTTTTCCCCCAACGGCCGCCACCTCCCCTTCCGTGCGTGGCGGACTGCCGCCCCTCCCCGAGCTGCGCTGTCCCCCTTCACCCGCCTCCGCATATGCACCGTCCGGATGCGAGGGCTCGGCGCGCTGGGGGGAGCGCGCGGCGGGGGGCGAGATGGTGGCGCGGCTGCAGGCGATGGCGAAGCGGCTGTTCGAGAACGGCGAGCGGCACACGCTGTTCCACACGTACAAGTGAGCGCCCTCTCTACTCCCCTCGCTGCCTCCCCATTCCTTCACGCGTCTACGCGTCTGCGCGTCCCTGCGCGTCCCTCAGGCTGAACCCTGCGCGCAGCTGATCCGTGGTCAGAGCTGCGCATGTGCGCGGCCTCACTCGCACTCATCACCTTGCCTCTGCCCCTGCCCCCGGTCTCCGCCCATGCCACCCATTCACCTCCAGGCGACGGCGGGGCGCCGTGGTGCGAGCAGCGCTGGCGGCAGCGGGAGTGGGAGTGGAGGACCAGGAGGGGGCGGGCCAGGCGGAGTGGTCGTGGGAGGAGGCGGGCAAGCGGCTGAGGGAGTGGCGCGCGCACCTCCGATTCGGAGTACGTCGCGCCCCCATCACTCCTTCCCTAACTCGCTCTCGCTGGCTCACCTTCCACGCGCCTTTCCCGCATTGCCCATTGCATGGCGCTGTCTGCCCTCACCTGCCCGTCGTCCCCCCACCTCTCTTCCTCCCTGCTCCCACCCTTGCTCCATTTCCCTCGCCCCTGAACCCCCCCCCTCCGCCCTTCCCCCTTCTCCCTTTCCCCCGCACCCCCCGCAGCTGGCGCTGTGCTTGGCGGAGCAGCGGCTGAGCGAGGCGGTGCTGGGCGGCATGGGGCATCTGCGGCAGGAGTGCGTGGAGGACCTCCTCGCGCCCTCCTTCACCGCGCTGCTCGCCCTGCCTACCCTCCTCGCCGCCTCGCCCCCCTCGCTGCACGCGCTGCTGCACGCGCTCTCCACGTTCCACGCGCTCAGGGACGGTTACCCGCAGGTACAGACCTGGGAGAAGGTGGGGTTGCGGGCTGGGACAGACGAGAGAGGCAGTGAGATGTTCCAACGGGCAGAGGGTTCCCCCAGCGGCACTGCAGGGGAGGCGCAGGAGACATTTGAGTCTGCTCCAACGCGCATGCTGGTAGCGGCATATTTAAAAACGTTGGCTCCGTTATCCAGTACAATAAGGCCTGCCGTGGACTCACGTCGTCTGTGCTTCCTTGCTCCCTGCCTCCTCTTCTCCCCGCCACCCCACTCTTCTCCGCTCCCCCTCCCCCCTCCCCTTTTCCCCTGCCGCGCAGGTGGCGGAGCTGTACCCCCGGCGCACGCAGAGGCAGCGGCGGCAGTACCTGGAGGTGCTGGCGCGCGTGGCGGGCGTGGCGAGGAGCGCCTTCCTCGCCACCGAGACCGCCTGGTCCCACCCCGCCCTGCTCGCCCTGCTGCTGGACGGGCAGGGCAAGGGGCAGGGCAAGGGGCAGGCCACGGGGCAGGCCACGGGGCAGGCCACGGGGCAGGCCACGGGGCAGGGGCAGGAGGAGGGAGGCACGCAGGCAGGGAGCGAGAGGGGCGAGGAGAAGGAAGGACCGGTGGTGATAACGGTGCTGGCGCAAGGGGATGCAGGCGATGATGGCTCTCAGCAGGGGGGTGCAGCTGAGGCAGAGAAGGTGGAGGCGGAGGGAGTAGAGGGCGGTGGTGTGAGTGGAGAGGGCACGGCGGACACGGTGACAGCAGCAAGTGGCAACACCACTGCGCCAGCAGGCATGGGCGTGGGGCAGCGCAAGGGACGCAGTCTCTTGCTGCGGTATGCACCTCACACACGCTGCCTACCCTCTGTGCCTGAGTTCCGTACCTGCCTCCATCCCTGCCCTCCATGCCTGTGCTCCATGCCTGTCCCTGTGCTTGTCCTCCGTGCCTGCCTGCTTCCGTTCCTGCCTTCCGCGCGTGCCTTCTGCGCGTGCGTTCCGTGCGTGCCTTCCGTACCTTCCCGCTTTGTTTTCAGTCGGAGTGTGCAAATCTCTGCATGCTCAGAGTGGCGAGGAGGAGGCACTGTCTGCAAGTCTCCTCCTGTCTTTGCAAGTCCAAGACCTCACCCTTCCCTACTATCTGGCGGAAAAACGCTCACCCTATACCTCCCTCTGGCCTTGTTCCACCCGCCCTTTTCACCTTGCAGCTTTCTGTCGGCGGCCACCACAGGCGGCACCCCAGTCGGCAGCGACAGCAGGGGGGCCAGGGGCGGGTGTGTTGGCATGCTTCCAGCCCATCACGGGCGCCGTGGACCCCGTCACACTGCACCTCCTCGACACCTTCCACCTCCTCTGCTCCCAGTCAGTCACACACTCACTCTGCTTTCACTCTCCGCATACTCAATCCCCCACCATCTGCGTCACCCCCCCCCTCCAATTCCCCAACCACTCTGCCCATTCACGTATCCATGACTTCTCTCGCACCAATGCATGCCAGCCAACCTGTTCCTGGCCGTCCCATCCTCTCATTCATGCACACCACACCACACTACACAGTGCCACATAGCATCGTAACCTGTCAAAAAACACTTGTTTCCTCCTCCTGCACCGCCGTCCCATCTCCCCCCCCCCTGTGTGTCCCACAGCGACCTGCCGTACCGCCGGCTGCTGGAGGAGGTGTTGGACATGCACCCCACCCCTGCGCCCGCTGCCTCCCTCGCCTCCTCCCCCTGCGCCTCGCCGCACCCCGCCCTCGCCTCGCGCGACCAGCAGCTGCCCACCCCCCACTCCATATGCAGCAGCCCCGCCACCAGCTGCTGGAGTGAAGCCTCCTCCCTGCCGCTGCCTGGCCAGCCCGGGGTGGGGGCGGGCGGAGGGGCGGGGAGGCGGGTGCATGCGCGCATGGCGATGGTGATAGCGGGGAGCATCCGCGGGCTGGTTGGGGCGCTGGAGGCGCATGCGGTGGGCAGCCGGGACGACCTGGCGCTGAGCGAGCTCTTCCTCATGAACAACCTCCACCACATCGCCTCCCGCCTCTCCACGTGAGCAGCGGAGCTCCCAAGGGAGGGGGATGGAGGAGCGATAGGGTGAAGGGCAGTGAGGGTGGGAGGTAGGGGTTGAGATAGGGGAAGGAAGTGAAAAGAGGGGACAATGGGGGAGGAAAAGGGCACACCAGGGTTCGATGAGTACATCATGATGTGGCACATAGGTGTTGGGGAGTCATTCACACCTGTGTGCATGTGCGCATGTGCCCATGTGCCTATGAACCTCCGCCCTTGACATGAGCAGGTCGAGCGTGGGCAAGCTGCTGGGGCTGGCAGAGGTGGGCGCGCATGCCAAGCATGAGGAGAGGCACCGCGACCGCTTCCTGGAGCTCTCCTTCGCCAGGGTATGACCTGCCTGGTTGTACCTTGCTGGATATCAATGCAGGATTCTCACGATGCCGATGCTTGTGCTGGTCTCTGTGGCCTAACTCCTGTTTGATCAGCTATCCTCATCAAAGGGCACCCTTTGGCAAGCGCACCCTCGACCCCCCGGGACGGAGCCCGCCACCCTTCCATCATCCATGATATCTGGGATCAACCCAGTGGGCCTATGCAGCACACCTGACCTTGTTTGCACTGATGTCTGCCCCTCTTCCCCCACTCCCCCCGGCCAGTTCCACTGCCTGGTCACCAACGACAGATTACGCAGACCTGACGCCATCCGTCGGTGAGCACCTCTTCTCCACTTCTCGCTTCTCTCTCTCAGGCGGTTTGCAGCTGACTGTCTAATGTGCCTGAGTTTTCTCTGGCAGATTGGTGGAGTTCTGCAGTGTGCTGGGAGATGTGCTAGCCATGCAGCAGACCTGGGTGGTTCCCGACCCACACAATGCTGCCACACTGCGATCTGCCCTGCGCTGGGGCCTGCAGCAGATGCTCCAGGCATTCCTCGCCAAACACAGGTGGAGCCTCTATGTGAATCATGTCTATCTCAGTCTCAGGAAAATCACCTGCCAATTACACATGCCACACATACATTGTGATTTGTTTGACCGCCCCTCTTTATTTCATCGCAGGTCTGTGCTTCTTGCGACAAGTAGTAGCATTTCAGAGATTGACGAAGCATGGCAACTAGTTTCCGAGGTCAATAACAGCTTCCGTGCACATACATAAATAGTTTGAATGGCGAATGCTACTCTTGATGATGGCCCACAAATAAATGTACATGCATATAATGCTCCAGTTTGATACATGGTTCTGGTGCGAAATGAGATTATGATGGGATAACAGAAATGAGAGCACCTTGAGGTGTAGATGTATTAAATTAACTTTAGGCTAGGGATAATTTGCTTCTAACAAATGACGAATGTCTTCGCATGTAGATGCCGTGCCCTGTAATCTTGGGGTTTCGGTTTGGACCTTCACACGGCTAGCGCTTGCTTGTCTCGTGATCCAAATCGAGCTGACAGGGGGGAGAGCGTTGATGCTTGAGTTTTGTTGGTCACTTCCCTATGCAACTCTTCTCAATCTCATCTCATAACGTTGTTATTCCTTCTCTCTTGGTGCTTGCATTCTGGTGGGATTGGTGGTTGTGCTTGACAGCAGAGGTTCTTGTTTGGTCTTAAAACTCCTGAGTGATTCTTAGTGCACGTTTTTCTAGCGAGCATGGCAGACACTAAGTTGAAGCTGAAGAGCTCAGACAATGAAATTTTTGAATTAGACCAGGAGGTAGCTCTGCAGAGCGACACCGTGAAGAATATGATCGAAGATGTCGATGTGTCGTCTGCCAGCGAGCCCATCCCTTTGCCAAACGTCTCTGGGCGAATCCTGGCAAAGGTGATTGAGTATTGCAAGTATCACGTGGATGCGAAGAAGCCCAGCTCCATGGAGAAGCCCGCTGTCACGGACGATGAGGTGAAGGCGTGGGATCAAGAGTTTGTGAAAGTCGATCAAGCTACCCTGTTCGACCTGATATTGGTGCGTATCCACCATCCTGTATTGATGCATCATCTTTCGTCTGGTCTTAGCCGCAGCCCTCTTCGCGGACATATTTATGTACGTCTTCGTACTCACTGCGTCAGCCGCTTTGTGATTCATTATCATTTGTCAGGCTGCAAATTATTTGCACATCAAAGATCTGCTGGAGCTTACGTGCCAGACTGTTGCTGACATGATTCGAGGAAAATCGCCAGAGGAAATCCGCAGGACATTCAACATAAAGAACGATTTCACTCCAGAAGAAGAGGAAGAAGTTCGTCGCGAGAACCAATGGGCGTTTGAATGACTTACCGGATTTTTCCCGGGCCGGCAAGGTGCAGTTTGAGAATGCTCTTGGTGCTAGCTCTGTCTTATCCATGCGTACTTGATCAGACTCTTGTTTCTTGTTTGTTTGTTTTTTTGCATTGCAGGATATTTTCTGGCATACTTGTGCATACTGACGTGGTATGATGTTTGGAAAAAAGACAAAGATATTGATCTTGCATGCGCTGCTAACGAATGAGCTTGCTGTAAGTTCCAAGAGAGCTTACCATTAGGGCATGTTCCTACGGCCCCTCGTCAGGGCATCCTCTTATCAGCTTCGCATATTTGTTGTATGCACGTTATAGAACGCCTCTTGTCAGGCTTGTACCGTGAACGCACACGAATGAAATTTATTGCACCATGTCGCTCAACATGGCGGAACCCACTCTGCACGTCCACAGAAGACGCGTAAGTGTTAGTTCATGATCCTCGCCCGCCACCTTATCCTGCGCATGACCGTGACGTGCCGAATGTGCAACGGGACGCTTACGTGCTCAATGTTCGCGATTCCCAACATTGATCTCATTTCCCGGCACACAGCCATCTAGAGCACCTGCAAGTTGGACACTTTCCACAAACCACAGCAAACAAGGAACCACCCGTGTGTTGGAAATGTCAAACATATGTATATCTATGTTATAGTTTGGGTAGGCTTAGTGGGGTACACACTGTGGGGTACAACCCCTTAGGTTCATTCTTTGTACCAACCCTCTCGATAGTCGACATCACTTTTTGCCTATGATTCTAACATGGTATAGAGCATAGGTCCTTAGGAGGACCTAGGATTAGGGCCCACCACGCTTGCCTGCCTTGTCTAGTGCCTCCGCGCGCCTCGGGCGGTCCTTTTTTTTTTTCCCGCGTGCGCCGTTTTAGAAGCCCGCGCAGCCCGTTTCGGCCCCACCTGTACGCCCCTTAAGCCGCCCGCGCGCAACCTGGTTAGGCCACGCCAGCGCGGCCCGTCGCCCAGCGCAGCCCGCAGCTTAGCGACCAGCCCGCAGCCGCGCATGTGCGGCCCGTCGCCCAGAGCAGCCCGCAGCCGCACGCAGCTTGCAGCCGCGCTGCCTGTCGCCACGCGCAGCCCGCAGCTGCAAGCAGCCCGCAGCCCGCGCATTCCGTCGCCGCACGCAGCCTGCGGCCGCGCGCGCTGCCTGTAGCCACGCGCAGCCTGCAGCCTCGTGCAGCAAGCCGCCACACGCAGCCAGCAGCCTCACGCAGCCCTCCTGCCTGCTGCCTGCCTGCTGCCGCCTGCCTGCTTGCTGCCTGCCGCCTGCCTGCCTGCTGCCGCCTGCCTGCTTGCTGCCTGCCGCCTGCCTGCCTGCCTGCTTGCTGCCTTCTGCCGCCTGCCTGCAGCCTGCCTGCTGCCTGCCTGCTGCCTGCCTGCTGCTTGCTGCCTGCTGCCGCCTGCCTGCCGCCTACCTGCTGCCTGCCTGCTGCCTGCCTGCTACTTACTGCCTGCTGCCTGCCTGCTACTTGCTGCCTGCTGCCGCCTGCCTGCCGCCTGCCTGCCTGCCTGCTTGCTGCCTGCTGCCACCTGCCTGCAGCCTGCCTGGTGCCGCCTGCCTGCCTGCCTGCTTGCTGCCTGCTGCCGCCTGCCTGCAGCCTGCCTGCTGCCTGCCTGCTGCCTGCCTGCTGCTTGCTGCCTGCTGCCGCCTGCCTGTCGCCTGCCTGCTGCCTGCCTGCTGCCTGCCTGCTACTTACTGCCTGCTGCCTGCCTGCTACTTGCTGCCTGCTGCCGCCTGCCTGCTTGCTGCCTGCTGCCGCCTGCCTGCCACCTGCCTCCTACCTGGTGCCTGCTGCCTCTGTCTGCTGCCTGCTGCCTGCTGCCTCCTGCCTTAAGCCAATATGGCGACGCCCAACGTTCTAGCGTTCGAGCCTGACGGTTGTCCCATCGAGTTCACTGTGTGGTTAGACGATCTCCAGCTGTTCCTTCTGACTGATGCCAAAGAGGGCGTTTCCCTGTTTGATTACGTCTCTGGCACTGCCGTTACTCCTGCTGCTGATGCTCCTGCTCTAGAACGCTCCCAGTGGCAGACTCGTGATGCTGCTGCACGCCTAGCTATTAGGAACCACCTGCCGATTACTGAGCGAGCGCACTTCAGCCAGCACAGAACTGCTAAGACACTGTACGACGCTGTAGTTGCGCGCTACTCCTCCCCGGCCACTGCAGCCATAGGTCGACTCATGCTACCGTACCTGTTCCCCGATCTTTCCTCGTTCACCACTACTGAGGACCTAGTTTCTCACCTGCGCGCTACTGACTCTCGCTTTCGTGCCGCTCTTTCAGCCGAGTTCTGCACCGCAACCCCCCCCCCCCGATGTACTTCACTCTCTATTTCCTCGTCACCCGCCTCCCTGACACTCTTAGCTCTGTCAGGGACCACTTCCCAGCGCTAGACCCCACCACTCTCACTGTCGACGACTTCGAGAAGCACCTCCTCGCAGCAGAGAAGAACATCATCGCTGTAGGTGCTGCTCGTGGCACTCCTCGCTCTCCCCTCTTTGAGGGGTGCTCCCCCTCCCCTCTCACCCCCTCCTACGCCTCCGCAGCTGCTGCTCACGACTACCTTGGTGCTGAGGGGGTCGGAGCTGCTTCCGCTCCTAGTGGGAAGCGTCGCAGCGGCAGGGGCGGCAGGGGTGGCAGGGGCGGTGGGGGTGGCGGTGGAGGTGGCGGTGGTGCAGGCGGTGGGGGAGGTGGAGGTGGTGGGGGTGGTCGTGGGGGTGGAGGCGGTGGAGGTGGTGGTGGGGGCGGCGGAGGCACTGGGAGCGGTGGAGGGGGCAGCAGCGGCGGTGGGGGAGGAGGGAGCGGTAGTGGCATTGGTGGTCAGGGCCAGCAGCAGCCGCAGCAGCAGCAGCAGCAGCAGCAGCAGCAGCAGCATCAGCGTCAGCGCTAGACCCCCACTTCCCAGCAGCTTCTTGACTGGTATGCCGGGCGTGGGGCTTCTGGGGGTCCTGGTCGCTGCCCCTATATCATCCGCACAGGTCCCCGCGCTGGTCGCCAGTGCACAGGTTTTCACACTGAGCAGCGCTGCTTCGCTCGGCTTAGCGACGCCTGGCGCGCCAAGTTTCCTGATGCTCCTGAGTTCCCCAACTGGGCAGACTTGCTGAGGCGTGATGTACCTATCTTTGATCTTGACTATGAGGCAATTCTTGCTGCTATGTATGCCTTGTCTGTTAGTGCTGAGGGTGACTGCTACTTGTGTGTGCCGCCGGATCCTGGTATAGCCCCTGGTATAGCCCCTGCAGCACTAGGTGCTTGTGAGTCTGCTCCCCTTGGTACTGCGCCTGCACAGGCTTTGCACACCTTTACACTTGACTCTGGTGCTTCCCGCTGTTTCTTTCGCGACAGTACCACAGTCACTCCCCTCCCTGCACCTGTTCCTGTCTCACTGGCTGACCCCTCTGGGGGCCCAGTGCTTGCACGGTCTTCCACTTTGCTTCCGTGCCCGGCAGTCCCGTCTGGTAAGCTGTCTGGTCTCCACATCCCCTCGTTCTCTACGAACTTGGTGAGTAACGCTGTCCTCCAGGATGCGGGGGTTGACACCTTCACCCCTGGCCGGCATCGTGTGGCGATTTGCACGTGCTCCCAGACTGGTCGCCACCTGGCCACGTTCGCTCGTGCGCCAGGGTCCAGTCTGTACACCCTCACCACTGCGTCGCGCTCCGCCCCTTTGTCTCCCCAGTTGCACGCGTCTGCTCAGGTAGCTACACAGTGTGAGTGTCGCCGGCTGTCGCACGACACTCTCCTGTGGCACCACCGCCTTGGTCACCCCTCCCTGCCTCGCCTACGCAGCATGCACTCCCGCTTCCTGGTTTCTGGTCTTCCCAGGTCTCTGCCTCCCCCCCCTCCCTCGCCTGCGCCGCCCTGCATTCCCTGCGTCGAGGGGCGGGAGCGCGCCGCTCCTCACTCCTCCTCGTTCCCTCCCACAGAGGCTCCACTGCAGACTCTCCACCTGGACGTGTGGGGCCCAGCCCGCGTCCGTGGACAGGGCCACGAGCGGTACTTCCTGCTGGTCGTCGACGACTACACGCGCTACACCACGGTCTTCCCCTTGCAGCGCAAGGGGGATGTCCCTGATGTTTTGATCCCCTGGATCCGCGCTACTCGTCTCCAGCTCCGCGAGCGGTTCCAGTCGGACTTTCCTGTTCTGCGTCTGCACTCTGACAGAGGTGGTGAGTTCTCCTCAGACCTCTTGGCAGCCTTCTGTGCGGAGCACGGCATCCGCCAGACTTTCACGCTTCCGGCCTCTCCTCAGCAGAATGGGGTTGCTGAGCGCCGCATTGGCTTAGTCGTGGAGGTCGCTCGTACCTCCATGATCCATGCGGCTGCCCCCCATTTTCTGTGGCCGTTTGCAGTCCGGTACGCCGCGCATCAGCTCAACCTTTGGCCCAGTGTCTCCTTGCCGGAGACCTCGCCCACACTGCTGTGGACGGGGAAGGTTGGCGACGCGTCGCGTTTCCGGGTCTGGGGTGCTCGTGCCTTTGTCCGCGATACCACCGCGGACAAGCTCTCCCCTCGCGCCATTCCTTGCGTCTTCCTTGGCTTTGTCCCTGACGCGCCTGGCTGGCAGTTTTACGACCCCGCCTTGCGCCGTGTCTTTGCGTCTCAGGACGTCACCTTTGACGAGTCCGTCCCCTTTTACCGCCTCTTCCCCTACCGCACTGCTCCTCGCCCCCCC